CCTTGCGATTCATAGACATTATCTAGTTCTTTAAATAGTGCATATCTGATGCAATATTTGGATCATTTATTTTCAAGATTTTTAGGCATTTGTCCACTTGATTGTCACCATTTTTGAAATTTTAAATTTCAAAATTGAGAACAATAGATTTTCTTATCTTTGCGGCACCAAAATGTATTCCCAGCATAGTTCTGTGTTGCACTTTATTTTCAATAGTATAACGTTGATACTTTTTACAAACCTCACCCTATTGAAATTGTTTGTACAATCTCAGTCTACTTCCACTCGGCCTTATTTATTTAAATTGTGTACTTTAATGTGTGCCAAAACTACCAAATCATGCTTTACATATGACTTGGAGTCATCTTCTCGAGTCTCAAGCTTCCTCAATTTGCTTGCGATCAAGTTCAAGTGCACGACAGTAGTGCATTGCAGTGATCAGCTGTTACTCGGGAAATAAAAAATATTGGAATCATGTTAGGGAGCTCGTGAGGAAGTATTTGAAAAACGAGTTAGTACTTCGCAAAGAAAGAATTGCTTCTTGTGCACATCTTCAATGGATTTATCGAAAACAATTGAGTTAGCTGATCTCCCTATCTTGGTTGCCATCGATACTTTCTAACAAGAGCACTGTGAATGCGCATCTCTAAACTTGAGCTTTTTCTTCTCTCCTATAGAAGAGGTTGGCCTCCAAAGAATATCGGTACATGCCTTACTGAGTGGCTTCCAAAAGAGTACTTTTTGATCTCCCTATCTTCTTGGCGTCGTTGGAAGATGAGCCGGGGTGCAATGGTTGGTGAGTTTCAAGTTATGTAAAAAATTACATATTATTAATTGATATATTCCATATATTACATTAGATAGATATCATGTGCTGGGAGTGGAATACAATTTACTTTCAAGATGCCTTGATGGTGAAATGGTACTAAAGGGTGTGGAGGTTAGTCCTCTTTTAAGGCATGGAGAATGATCATTGAATGAGCAATTCAATAATAAAAAGATATTAGATCTAATCAATGTTGGCAAATTTTATACAAACCATTTGGTGAAACTCACGATCCAATTCTGAGCTATCAGAATTGGGGTAGGTTTGGCAATGGATTGCAAAATCTTGGCAGTCTTCTCTATGTAATTAATTGAGACATTTTTGAAATGGTCTGCCTAGCACCCCCCCACAGATCCGCCCAACCTAAAAACCTAGGCCTTGGGTCACAAAATGTGGTCCAAGGACCAGGCGACCACAACTTGAGGGTAGGGCTGGCCCTACCAAGCCCTTTTTCCTTTTTATGTTTTTGTTACCTGCCTTGGCCTACCCCGGTTAGGGTTGGCCCAACCTACTCATGTCCAGGCTAAAAAACAATGGAGTAAGGAAACGTTTGGTGATATATTAAAAATTTTGGCATATATGTTGACAATTTAAGAAAATAAAGTGAGACTCGTGGATCATTTACCCTATTTGTAAGTTATATGGAAATACATATAATAAGACCATTTATCAGTGATATAAGGAGGTCACAACCATTATTGAAGGCTAGAAGTGAAATAAGGTAGTTGACGATGTGTTATTGACTCGGCATAAAGTCCAAAAATAAAATTTCTCAAAAATATATATATTTATATATCAATCTTTTAAAAAAAAAATGCTCCCATAGGAGTATTTTTTGTAAGAAAACAATAAATACCGAAGTGCTATTGGCCCATGCAGGTTTCAAACTTGTGTTCTTCGCGTTATTAGCCTGAAGCTCTAAGTAATGATAGGAAAGTGCCCGGGCCTGATTGGTTTAACTCTTGACGATTTGCAACATACATCTTAGGATTAATTCATACCAAGGGTAGGGCCCTCTCCCCACAAAAAAAATAAAATAAAAAAAGTAACGGTATAGTTCAGTTCGTCCAAATTTAAATGGCTAAAAATGGCAATGACATTCTTGTATAAAAAATAAGTAGTCTTAGCCGTGGAAATACACCAAAAGGTAAGCGAGCTGTGAGGGCTTGTGTGTAGAAAAATTATATAATATGGTTGGCAATATGGTTTATCACCGTCCAATTAACAGGTCGATGATGAAGAGAAATTAGGGATGTAAAATTCGTCAATTTGACTGTAGAGTGGGACCCGCTCCACTCGAAACACTACATTGTCGTGATGTTAACAGGATCGTATAGAAGATATTACGCACAGAAATCTATGGAATTTAATTTGTTCTGAAAACCCCTTTCAAACATGCTTTCATAGCTCAGTTGGTTAGAGCACCCGTTTAGTAAGCGGGAGGTCTTGAGTTCAAATCTCAATGAAAGCGGCATATGTACGAGGAAAATTTCTTTGGAAAGGGGAAAATTTTTGGGAATGGTTTACATGCTCCCTCCCTATATACGAGGAATTTTCTTTGGGAAGGGGAAAATTTTTGGGAATGGTTTACAGGCTCCCTCCCTATATACGAGGAAAATTTCTTTGGGAAGGGGAAAATTTTTGGGAATGGTTTACATGCTCCCTCCCTATATACAAGGAATTTTCTTTGGGAAGGGGAAATTTTTTGGGAATGGTTTACATGCTCCCTCCCTATATACGAGGAATTTCTTTGGTAAGGGGAAAATTTTTGGGAATGGTTTACAGGCTCCCTCCCTATATACGAGGAAAATTTCTTTGGGAAGGGGAAAATTTTTGGGAATGGTTTACATGCTCCCTCCCTATATACGAGGAAATTTCTTTGGGACGGGGAAAATTTTTGGGAATGGTTTGCATGTTCCGTACAGTATAGAAGATCTATCCTTCCCTACCATCCTTTGTACGAGGAAAATTTCTTTGGGAAGGGGAAAATTTTTGGGAATGGTTTACATGCTCCCTCCCTATATACGAGGAAATTTCTTTGGGAAGGGGAAAATTTTTGGAAATGGTTTGCATGTTCCGTACAGTATAGAAGATCTATCCTTCCCTACCATCCTCCATCCAAATTTGATCTATAGGGGACCCTACCATCCTCCATCCAAATTTGATCTATAGGGGACTACTTGCTTTTTCTTTGGAAAAAACTTATGGAAAAGGTTTCTATGCTACCCAAATTTGATCTTTAGGGGACTATTGACTTTTTCTTTGGAAAAAATTTATGGGAAAGGTTTCTATGCTGCCCTTACAGCATAGAAATTCTATCCCCCTTACTATCCAGCTGTCCAAATTTGATCAAGGAAGCCACTCAGTGTTTGAAAAAATTTATGGGAAAGGTTTCTATGCTACCCTTACAGCATAGAAATTCTATCCTCCACTACCATTCAACTGTCCAAATTTGATCAAGCGAGCCACTCAGCGTTTGATCTTAGATCCGACGTTTCAAAGTATTTTATTTTTAGTTTTTTTTTATACAAATTGGATGAATATGTTGGTATGTGTCATTTTCTCATTGGGACGCACCTATAAAAAATATTAAAAATAGTTTTCGATAAAATATAATGATCAAAATAACCCTTGAATCTTTCAACGGTTGTTTATTTTATTTTATTGAAAATATTTTTTTTCTAGTGTGAGTTTAATAGAGGAATGGACGTCCAAAATTTGGTATCAAAATAGTTCATAAAAAAAAATTTAAAATAAAATAGTGTAGAGACGTGACATTGTGATTAGGGTAATCTTAACCCTCCATTCAGAATGGACAATTGGATAAGGGGGAGAATATAACTTCTATGCTGTAGGGGAAGCATAGAAAGCTTGCCCAAATTTTATATACAGTGAGCGACATCAAAAATTTCACTAGCTCTAAACAATCAAATTAGAGCCCACCTCAAAAGGTTTATATAGAGTGAGCCCTTATCAAAAATTTCAATAACTCTAAACAATCAAATTAGTGCCCATCTAAAAAATTTCACTAGAAGAGATTGTTTTGATGACCAAATATCTTCAAATTGATCATCTTGACATCAAGATGTATGGAAATGAGAAAAAAATGGATTCCAAGTTTTGGAAATAGTGCATCTTGTAATACATTTTTGGACTGTCAATTTTTCAAGATAAAATTCACTAGCTCTAAACAATCAAATTAGAGCCCACCTCAAAAATTTCACTAGAAGAGATTGTTTTGATGTCCAAATATCTTCAAATTGATCATCTCGACATCAAGATGCATGGGCATGAGAAAAAAATGGATTCAATGTTTGAAAATAGTGCATCTTGTAATGCATTTTGGACTGTCAATTTTCAAGATTTTCATACATCTGCTCGATCTACATTATTTGTGAAACTTTCAATTTTATAATTAAAGATGAAAATATATTATAAGGCTATCACAAAGATTCCCTGTATTAAAACCACAGTTCTCGATACTATTCGAAGGTACACTTTGTTTTAATTGTTTAGAGCATTAGCTCTATACAAACTGCACTTTTTTTTTTTTTTTTCCAATCACTTCCCTACCCTGTTTTCCCTTAAAAAGAATTGCTCTTTGAATACGTCTCTACCCTTGACACCCTTGGCTTTACTATTATATTGTTAAACAAAACATGATTAAAAATACATATAGACTAAAATTTGACTTTGTCTATTAATTAAATATATTATTTAGATGCAAATTTATTACATAATTATAATTTTGTTAAGTTTATTTATTTATTTTTATTTTATTAACTTTCACCCTTTTCTTGAATTTATGTCATAAAATAAATTATTTTTTATTATCATCATCATTATATCTTTTTTCTAATTAATTGGGGTCGACAACACAAATCTTGGTACGCCATTCTACTTTATTAAAGGTCATATTCTCAGTGAGGCCATAAGTCTTCATATCTTTTCGGACTACTTTGAACCACATCCTTTTGGGCCTACCCCTTGCCATTTTCAGTCTTTCTACTTGAACTAACTTGCACTTCCTAACATGAGCTGTACCTGGTTGGAGCCACACATGGCCAGCCTACCTAAGTCTACCCTTTGTCATCTTATCACATATTGGTACCACACTTAAATTCTCTCGAATGGATTTATTTTCAATTTTATCCCTTTTTTGTCTTACCAGTCA